GGCTGGATTTGAACCCACTACCTTAGGTGTATGTGGCTGGCGCCTTAGCCACTTGAGCCACAGGCACCGAGCCAGCATCTGTAAACCTTTCAGCCCTGCCCAGTCTCTACTCAAAATCTAATTCTAATTCACTTCACAGAAGCCCTAATCTTCTCTGACGCTTCAGCCCTGCTCCAGAGAACCTTTGTTTCATTATTCTGGACCACTGTCTTTTGGGAACAGTGAAGAGTTGTTCAATGGTATTCTGCAAAATTGTATTTCCTACGTTGGGAAAATAAATTCGAATTTTCTAACTTTGAAAAAGCTTAATACCATATCCCCCATAATTCAATGAGCCATACTAAATAAAAGCTCTGAGAAGTCCTGCAGTGTTTTAGGGTTTGTTTTTTTTTTTTAGAGACAGAGTCTTATTTTATTGCCCATTGGTAGAGTGTGGCGGCATCACAACTCATACAACCTCCAACTCTTGGGCTCAGACGATTCTCTTGCCTCAGTCTCCCAAATGGCTGGAACTATAGGCACCTGCCACAACCCCTGGATATTTTTTTTGTTGCAGTTTGGCCAGGTGCAGGTTTGAACCTACCACCCTCAGTATATGGGGCCAGTGCCTTACCCACTGAGCCATAGGCACCACCCAAGTGTTTTAGGTTATTTAACTCAGTATATTCAAAATGTATTTGACCACGATGGGATACGCTGTTAGCTGCCCATTCAAAAGTCATTCCCAATCTCACTCTTGACGTGGTAGGAAAAAACAGATTTGCCAACCTCCTTTGTAGCTACAGATGACCTTGTAACACAGTTCTGGCCAGGAAGTTGTCAGGGAAATCTACTGAGGGATTTATGCAAAAGGTATTTTCTCTTCCTTATATGTGGGAGGAGAAAGGCCTGACCCTGGTACCTGCTTTCTGCCTTTTGAGTCTGGTCTGGATGCTTGGAACTGACATCTCATGACTAGGAGAATCACAGACCTATCCACACAGAACCTTGATGTTACTAAGTCACTGGAATAATGACAGCACTGGCTACTCCTAGACTTCTTGTAAGTGATTTTTATTAATTCCAAGACATATCTCTGAAATTAGGATGGGTCTTACAATTGCTGCTGCCCTGATGTCATTGTCACTGGCTACTCATGATCATGACATGACTAGACAACTGAAACCCCTGAGTGTTTGACCAACAAACCATTCAGAACTTTAGGAAGCGTATGAGTCCTGATTGTTTAAAACACATTTCACAGACACCTTCGGACACGATCAAGAAAGTGGCAGCATCAAAACTGACAGAATGGGTATCAGCCACACAGATGAAAATTCCAGAAACAATAGTTCTACATCATCAACACATTGAAAGGAGCAGAGAATGATACAGCATGGTCACAAATGAATACTGATGAGCTGACATGCAAAGTAATTTGTAAGACTCTGGAAGTGCAGAAGTGACGTCAGGCAGATCGTAACCAATTTACTATCCTAATAGGTTTCTTTTAATGTATTTACAAAAGTGACAGAGATAAAAATCTATCTAAAAGTCTGTTTAACAAGAAGAAATAAACGTTCTAAGTGAAAAAGCACTGTGTCCTAATTTAATTGGCAATATTTTCTTTCTTAGTGGTACGTAATTCAATGTGTCTTAGAGACTACAGCATTTTAGATTCAATGAAATACCATTGCACCTCTTAGGGAAGCTTTCTCTAATCATCCCAACTCCCTGTAAAAGCCCTCAGAGCAGCCTTTGAGATGCACTTCTTCGTTGTGCTC